TATTTTAGTTAATCAAAGTATTCAAATTGGGTTTTTTCCTTATACCAATCAAGTTGTAAAACTGAAAAGTAGAAAAATGTAAGATACTGTTCAGAAAATGTATTTTTATAGATATTATATAATGATAACATAATCTATGAAAATCTTCACAACTAGTTTTACTCCTTCTACTATTAAAAGACAAAAATATTATTAGGAAATCTCACTTTTTGAGTAATGGAAAATGAACACTAGTAAAATTTATTTAATAAATATGACTGCTGGAAAATATTGAGAATTATATAATATAATTAAAAAGCTACATAAGAACCTGAGGACCATTATTAGTTATTCTATTCTATATAAATAAATATTAAATCAAGACTGAAAGAAAGAAAGCATTGGGCAAGACATTAGATTTAAATAGGTGCTAAGTATTTCAGGCTATTATAAAAAATAATTAAGATTATGGATAAATAAGTTCCTCAGATGATTAGGAAAAATGATAATATTTTAGAAAGGTTGATTTTTAATGCCAATAGAGATCTTTTGGAAGTTATGAAGTATTTTTATTTTTTATTTTTTATTTCATTTTCATGTAAATACAATTGTATATTTTTAGATATATTCTTTTCTTTTATTTTCCTTTTTCCTTTGTAGTTTCTCAAAATTAGTTCCTTGAAAAATAATAAATAACAATAACCTGTTAGCAATGAAATGTAAATTAGAAAGGCATTTATTTAAAATCTATTATAAAGTGAAATATTGTCTTCAAAATTACACTTAGAGGTTAAAACTCTTTTAAGAATTAAAAGTCATTAATAAATAAGTTAGCACATTAGTTTAGTCATAATGCAATTGTTCTATATATTTCTATTAGTTTTTATATTGATTAATAAGTACACAGTACTGGTCTAATCATGGATTTAAAAAATTAAGATAATATTATTATTTATTTATTTATTGCTTTTTTTTTTAATATTCTTTTAAGTTTTAATAAGTCTTGAGTTTGAATTGATTTATTAATAAAAGCTATTATCTTAAATTTTTCAATTTCTAGAAAGAATTATTTTATATAATTCTAATAAAAGTAATATTATATTTCTTGGTATTATTGAGATTTAATTTTTGAATTTGTTTCTTTACTATCTAAAGATTTTATTTTTGTTAAGATATTAATAAACTATTTAAACTATTAATTTATAAATTGTCTAAATTATCAAAGAGCTGTTACTTAATTTTTTTGATACTTTTTCTCTTTTCAAAGAATTTATCAAATAAAGAAACTTTTTTTGAAAAAAAGTTGATCAATAGAGAGTTTTTTTAATACAAACTAACTTTGAGTAATAAATAAATATATTTTTAATAATAAAATTTATAATTATTATAATTTGCATTAAATCAAACAAATTTTTTATTTTTAATTAATATTTTGATTTTATCAAAATTTATGTATTATGATATAACAATTTGAATAAAAATTTTATAACCAATAAAATTTATTATAGAAATATATTTCCTTAATTGTTTAAAGTTCATTTATAAAAAAAAAAACCAAAACCAAAAAAGGCTTGTAAGTAACTATAACTATAAAATTTAATTGTTTGTTAGTAACAATTATATTTTGTTGAATTATTTTACATATAAAATTTAATACCAAAATAATTTTAAACATAATAATCAATAGTATATCATCTAGGATTTAAATATATTATATAGAAGTAGAGCTTATATGTAAATAATAAAAAGTTAATTAAAATTTGCTAAACTTTCACAATATGAAGATTTCATTGTTCGCATTGTTTATTTAATATGAAAAAAATAAGTTTCGAAACCTCAAATTTTTGCTGATCATAACTATTTTCGAATAAAGACAATTTGTACGCAGATTGATTTGAATATTTATTTTAATGGTTCCCAAAATTTTTGATGTATGACAAGATGGAACCTGCTTTGAAAAAGTTTATCTGCAGTAACCTTCAGAATATTAATTCAAAATACTATGAATTCTCGAATTTTTTCGGAAATGAATTAATCGGATGCAACAGCTTTGCAATGTATTATAAGGCAAAGTGCAACATTCGAAATCTAAACGACGTTGTTGCGTTAAGATTAGAAACAAAGTTTGATAACGATGATTTAAATGAACAAAGTTTAAAAAGGCAAATAAATGAGGTATATTATTTACTTTTAAACTCGTATTTCTGGTTTATAACTGTTCTTTTGATAATTCAATTTCGGATAAAAATATATACTCATTTACGCTTTCATGAAAACATTATGAAATTTTATGGCTATAGTTTCCACGAAGGCAAGTTATCGTGGGAAAATATCAACAGTTATTTACAAAAAAATACTAAATTTGTTCGCGATTAAACTAGAAAATTTAGTAATCGTCCTCGAGTATGCAGATGGCGGCACACTTAGGAATCATTTGAAAGAAAATTTTCTGCTTATGAGTTGGATGGAAAAAATCAATATTGCAAAGCAAATTTCACATGGAATAAAATATATTCATGAACAAGATATTGTTCACCGAAATCTGGTATTTTTATTTCTTTAATTTAGACTAGAATACACCATAAGATTTGACTTTTTGAAAGGAAGTTATTTAACACAATAATTTTATAATTAGCATTCTAGAAATATTTTAGTCCACAATAGAACAATAAAAATATCAGGCTTTGGTACATCTGAAAATATCCAGGACAAAGATTCCTCGATGTCTCAAAGTCAATTTGGAGTCCTTCCCTATCTTGAACCACAATGCTTTTTACATAAAAATTATAGGCGGACTAAAACTTCAGATATTTTTAGCCTCGGTGTATTGCTATGGGAAATATCAAGCGGGAGACCTCCACTTCATGAAAAATCAATGACAGAAATTTTGGAACTCATAATTAAAAAT